TTGTATCTCTCCATTAATATATCTTCAACTCCCATCATCTGCTTTGTATCTTTCCCTTCCCCCCTATTCCTGTCTTTCTTTGCATATGTGTGCGTGTGTGTGCGTGTGTGTGTTCATCAGACATGACAGGCGCTCAGGACGGCAGTGTGAGAATGTTTGAATGGAACAGACCTCAGCAACTCATTTGCTTCAGACAAGCAGGCAATGCCAGAGTAACCCGGCTCTATTTCAACTCCCAAGGCAATAAGGTACACACACACACACACACACACACACACACACACACACACACACACACACACACACACACACACACACACACACACACACACACACACACACACACACACACACACATACATGCCTTTGTTTAGTCTATCTGGTACGATTGTTCTGATTGCGTGTACTCTTCTTGTAGTGTGGAGTTGCTGACGGTGAGGGCTTCCTCAGTCTCTGGCAGGTCAACCAGACATCCTCCAACCCCAAACCCTACCTGGTGAGGTCACCTTGCACCTCCATCACCTCCTAAATCTCCACCTCAGCACTTTGATAGTACACTTCTTTCCAAACATGAGTCACTAAAATGAACATGCGCTTCTTGTTTTCATTGCCTCGCTTGTGTCGACAGAGCTGGCAGTGCCACACTAAGACCTGCGGTGACTTTGCCTTTGTCACCTCCTCCAGCCTCATCGCTACAGCCGGACAGTCCAACGATAACAGGTCAGCATCTGCACTCACAAACTATAGATACAATATTACACCAATATATAATTTTAAAAAAAAATCATTTAAATTAAAAATATTTCTAAAATATAAACATAATTTAGAGGGAGTGAGCAGTGTGGATGAGCTAGATAGATAGATAGATAGATAGATACTGTATTGATCCCGAGGGAAATTCAAAGCATCCAGTAGCAGGTTACAAAGACGTACATGACATGAAACATTAGCACAGTGTTCAGGGTGGCTGATGTGTAATTAACATCACTGTTAAACCAATGCAGATCCTTCTCTGTTGTGATGGACTCACTCATTTTATTCTTGTTTCATTTTTCAAAGAAACGTTTGCCTATGGGATACTCTGATTTCCCCGAGCAATACCATGGTTCACGGTAAGAAACATGAGCTGCATCACACAGCCTATTTGAACGATTTGTCCTCACTTATTAAGTTTCTTCTGTGAACGTATTTCACATGCCCTCTCCCCAACTCCCCACAGCGTTCCCCTGCCATGAGAACGGGGCCACAGTGCTGCAGTATGCTCCTAAACAGCAGCTGCTGATCACTGGAGGCAGGAAGGGCTTTGTGTGCGTGTTCGACATCCGCCAGAGGCAGCTGCTGCACACTTTCCAGGCCCATGACTCAGCCATCAAAGCCCTCGCACTGGATGCCTTCGAGGACTTCTTCGTCACCGGCTCTGCAGAGGGCAACATGAAGGTGAGTGACGCTCCATCACTCGCTCACCAACCTGCCAAAACACACTTACCCGCCCTGTCACTCTGTGATTTTCTTCTGAGGATTAATGTCTTATTGTTGGTACAAAGGGTGGGGGGCTTGATAAAATCAGAAAATCCTCCGTCATACCTACAGATAATCTAGCAGGGGCAGGCTCATCTCTCTGGAGTCAGATTTGACTTCATCACAGTCCCAACAGAGTAGACCAGTCAAACAGCCTGCTCTGACACTCATTGCTCCCTCTTTAGGTTTGTTGTGAGGAAAGTCTGGACTTGTCAGTAGTAATAGTCAATGAAACTTAAAAAGCAGCCATAACCCAGAATATAAATGAGCCCCTCTGTATTGAAAGCAGAATACAGTCTACTGCTCTGATTCATGTTGAGGCCAGTGTTTCTGTTTTGTAACAGCAGCCACGTCTCATTTACACATATTTTTTAATCAAGGTAAGACAAAGCAAATGGCCATGTACAGATGAAGCCACCAAAAACGTTGTCTTTTTCCGTGGTGGGACCTCAACTGTACCGTGCCGGGTCAGTGCTAGGACCTCGCAGAGTCTGAGACTGTAACGAGATTAACTGTAGCCTGTATAACAGCACTAAGCTCTGGTGTAAAACCTCTCAAACAGAGGTTGTACATTTGTCAAAAACAAGTCTTTCTGCCTTATATTGGTTGATCAAAGGGGATAAAAGAAACTGCAGGAAATGTTTTTTTTTGTCATACAAAGCAGCTGTGGAGAACAGATTCTATAAGAATCCCTCTTATTCATTTATAGATCAATGCAGACTAGTTCACACGTGTCACCATATTAAATATTAAAATTACTGATGATGATTTCAGTGCATCTTAAAGGATTTTTCTGATTGTGTTGATTTTGGTTCCCCTCCGTGGTCACTGTTTCACCTCATCCTGCTGTCTTGAAGCAGTCAAACACATCAGTCATCAAGAATCTCTGAATTCAAAAATGTAGAAGAAAAGGCCTTTTTCTGCAGAGTGCTGTTAATTATTTTATCTGACAACTCCCTGCTGGTTTCTGTTTCAAGGACAAAAATAACTTCATAGAAATAATCAATTTTTTTTTTTACTGATGACCCGCTTTGCTTTTCTCACTCATTCAGAGACATCAGTATTTAAACAAAACTCCTTACAGGGGCTTTAAAGCATATTGTAAGGAACCTCACCTTATTTCTGAGCATTCTGCTGAATGTTGTTATTTCTCCTCTTTTTTATAAAACCATGCAGCAAAGTGTCAGAGGTCATTCATCCAACATCTGTTCTCAGTGCAAATTCTAAGACACTCGTTCAAAAACTTTATTGTCTATCACATAGTGACAGAAAATTACCTTTTGTTGAGGCTCAGTCACATGAAAACATTCATACTAAGACTCACATTAAGTCATAAAATGTATTCATATTGTCCAGACTGTTTTTAGCCCCACCTTTTGGGTTCTACTCATGGTACCATGCAGGTTATTGTGAAATATGTGTCAGCTTGTTAAGCAGTTAATTGAACAAAGTGACCCACAAAGTGTCACAGCACTAATCTAATTTAGCACTTGACTTTTTTTTTTTTTTTTAAGAGACAGCACACTTAACAGTTTCTTCTTCCTCTCCCCCTCTGCTCTGTTTGTCTCCAGGTGTGGAAGTTAGCTGGACACGGGCTCATGCACTCTTTTAGCACCGAGCATGCCAAGCAGTCCATCTTCCGCAATATTGGCGCGGGTGTGATGCAGGTGGAGACGCGACCCGGTAACCGCATCTTCACCTGCGGAGCAGACGGCACCCTGAAGATGAGGGTCCTCCCAGACCGCTACAACATCCCAAGCAGCTTGGTCGACATTCTGTAACGCCTACTTCCACTTCTGAGCGTCCAAAGAAAGAGACGGAAAGAAAACACATAAAATGCTTATGTAACACTCGCTAGGCATTTATAGTTTAACTGAAGGGGGAAGAGTTAGTCAAAAGATCGCCACTCTTTGGGCGTCTTTCAGAGTGTGCAGTGTTAGCGGGTTTACTGTTGACGTAAATCATATCAAGAATGAAAAAACAGAGCTGCAAATCTTTTTTGTCCCAAAGGCTGAAAGCGAAGTTACAAGCAAAAGGTATCATACTTGATTTTAAAGCTAGATTTATTGTCATTTTATTGAAGAATCTCTACTCTTAGAGTGTGTCCATAGGGAAGCTATGCATGTCCTGTTCTCGTTCCGCGGTGCAATCACAGGTCTATTGATAGTGCTCTGTAAAAGTGCTCAAGCAAAAATTTTAAAAAGTGTGTAACTGTCGTCATTTTGTGCCCACTGCAGAAATCTCTTAGCATCTACTGTAACCAGCACTGTGGTTTGTTCTTAAGTCAGTGGTTTCCGGTGTGAATCGAAGTTGTTGGAATCTGCATTTTGTTTCAATGGTTTTGCCCCGACCCCTGCCTTTTTGCCCGGCTTTTCTCAGCCCCTATGGAAGAGTTGATGGTGCATTGCTCCTGTAGTGAAACCCCCTCCCAACCCCCCTCTCACTGGCTGCCCGTCACTCACTCCAGCCTCTCCTGGTTTGGGCTCGACCCAGCCCGGTTCTGGTCCTTGGAGTGCGTGCTCACTCTGCTGTGTCTGCCATCCGTATGCCTGCCCTCAAATGCCTGTTTGTGCGGCAGACTCACTGCTAGAACATTCCTGTTTGGAAGATGACGTGTTTTATTCCTGTGGCTGTGATTTCAATGTTTCCATCTGTCTGGTCCGAACCCGAACACCCACCCACCCACCCAGAGCAGAAACACAAAGGTTCACTTCTGGTTTTGCACAAGATACCCTTGAATTTGTGTTATTTTTTAAAATTGATTTTATTATTCTTTTGATTTCTATGTTTGTGTTTGTTTGGTTGACCATTCCTTTGTAAAACTATTTAACGTATTGCCTTTTATTTTTAGGAATGTAAGGGGTTTTACTGTATCTGATTGGGAGATGTGCAACACAGTCTACTGTATGTACGTGTGTGTTACCTCGCTAGTCGTTTTTACTGTTTCATCCATAAGGAATAGATAATTGCACTCAAATTCTGGAGACACTAAAAGTTTATTTCAAATAAATAGGATATGGAAGAAGAAACTGTTCTATACAAATGAATGTCTGGCTTTATTTGGCCTAGTAGTAAAACGTTTGAAATAGTTTTAATATATAAATTATATAAATATATATATATATATATATGAAATACCACAACAGCTTGTACAAACATGAAAGCGTTTCTTTATTTTTTGGTTTGTATCATACCAGCTGGATTAGTTGTAACTTTTGTTAGGTGTATGTATGGTATTTATTAAAGAGATTTGTGTTTCTCTCCCTCTTTCTGCCCACTATGTGTATTGTATGTAACTTAAGTGTTTTACCGATGGTCCTACTGGTGTCTGGTGCGTATGTGTGTGTGCATGTAATAATGCAAAAGAAGCCAATATCATGGGTAGACGCTTCCTTGGGCACTTGAGCCTGGAGGTGTGTGAGAGAACAGGTCATGGTCAGAGTTTTACCTTTGTAAAGTGAATAAATTCTTTTTATTTCATCAGCTGGATTTGGCACTGTTGTTTTTTTTTTTCTTTTCTGTCAGGAAGACGGAGCAACAAAGGGACCGTGCTGCTGCATTAAAAAGTCAGGTGGACACTCTATATGTACAAAATAATTAGGAGAGCAACATGTTCATCGATATAAAAAAATACATAAACAAAATGTCATGCAAATACACTTGATAATGTAAAAACTTTGAACTCAGTAGAAATTCAAATCAATTTGATATAAAATTATAAGAAGTTTAAACACGGTTAGAAACTCTGAAATCTTCCATGAACATAGCAAATAGAATATACATACAGCAAACTTATTTTTGACTAGATATGAGAATTATTGGAGAGAGAAAAAGACTATATAGTGATTTCAACAAGAGAATACACTGAAACTGAACAATCTGAAGGATGGTATAGATGAGACTTTCTCCTGAAACCCTAATGAACCATTTTCCTAAGAGACACTCGACTCTGTCATGTCTGCATATTTGACTGTATCTCCTGTTATTGTAGTATTTTATTCATCAGAGATAAAGTGGACCACATACAGCCTGACGTGGCCGTTGTCCCACACGTACAGGTGTCTGTCCTTCGGGCTGTAGGAGAGCATGGCCAGCACTCCGACCGGAGGCCTCAGGTCAAAGGTCATATTCACCGGCTTCCCCTTCAGCAGGTCAAACGCGAAAGTGATTCTGGTGTCTTTGGTATCAGTGACGTACAGGACACCGCAGGCAATGAAGGCGTTGCCCGCTTTGGTGCGGGGGTAGGTGGTGTTCATGTAAACGTGACAGAGAAGGTCTTTTGGTCCAGCTGGGCCACCATGATGCTCTCGTCCAGGCTGGAGGCGAAAATCAGCCACAAGCCGTTCTCATCTGCTGCCAGTTTGAAGTACGTTTTGGAGTTGTGGAGCAGGTAGGCCAGGCTGTGGTGCAGAGCGTTTTCTATAGTCAAGGTGTGGAGCTTCTTAGTGTGAAAGTCGAACCTGAGAAGAAAGAAGCAAAGACGCACCATTAACCAAAAGGAACAGAACAAATAGAAAACATAGCAATCAAATGTCTTTCTTCATACCTGCCAATGCTGGAGGTGCCAGCGATGTGATAATAGAAGGAGCCGTTGTGAACAGTGTGGCCGCAGCCTTGGTAAAACTTCCTCAAATCTACAACATTGCTGCTGCCGTTCTGGAAAGAGCCAATGCTCTGATACTCCTTCACCACACGACCTGAAGAAGAACAAGCAACAGGACAAGTATTATGGCGTACTGTCCAAAAGGTATGTAGAGATGTTGTGTTTTTTGGATTGTTTTATGGCCATTTTTACTTTATAGCTGAAGAGAGAGAGAGAGGAAACATTGGGAGAGAGAGTGGGAGATACAGCCTCTGTATATGGGCTTATGTTCTGACCTCTTAACAATTCAGATATAGTCAATATTTGAAACACGACATTGCACATTAAAATCCTTGACACAAAGATTCATACAGTATACATTCAATCATTATCAACCTACCAGAGAAGTGTTCTGCCACCCATATTCTCTCATCGTTCAGTCGAGCCGTGTCCTTCATCCATGTCCCAAACGTGCTCTCCATCTTTGCCACATTCCTGGGGTTGATCAGAGACTTGATCAGGCAGTCTGGAGGGGAAACAACGTGACAACAAGCTTTATGTTTACATCTTTACAACAACACAAATATTGATTATGAAGGCAAACTTGAAGGGGAAACACACCATTCTTTTTAGAAGGCTTCTCGTGCATTTTCAAAGCCTCTTTAACAGGTGAGGTGTCGTCGTTAGGAACTGCGTGTAAAAGTCCTGTTGGAAATAATCACAGTTTTTATTATTCAGCACTCTACTCTATTATTCAGCGCTCACACATCGTGTAGACTTAAATAAGTGCATGGTGTCCCTTTTCTCCAGCTTTAAGTCTCACTATCTTCCCCAACATGGGGAGTTTTTTTTTTTCTGGACTTCTGACTTCTAATTTAAAAAAGACCTCATAGTGCTCAGAATAATTTAGATTTAAACGTCCCATGACAACTGGTCTAACTCTGTCTGCAAAGAAAGATCAAATTATATGACTCAACTCTCCAAAACAAACTCTTTGGGTTGACACTTATTTATTTCAAAGTCAAGAGTAGACTTTAATTTTCAGGGGTAAAATGCATGTGTGCTATAGGCGATAGCAGCTGTTTACCCAGAGTCTGAGCAGCCTGAAGGTTGGCTCTCTGGTGCCTGATTCTGGGCGGCCCCTGAGGGCCCGGAGGTCCTGGAGGGCCCATGAGACCTGGAGGACCTGGAGGACCAGGAGGACCTATATGAAGAAGAAAGGACAACATATAAAACCTCTGGATGTTTTCATAAAATCACATTTTATTCTGAAGACTTCCCACATTTGGGCATTCAGGGAGACATCCTTTAAAGTTAGGGTTGTCAAGTAGTACAAGTGATAGCAGTCATGACCGAGATGCTCTACTTGCCCTCAATGATAACGTCATTGGATGGTTGTCCCTTCTCTCCAGGGGGACCAGACTCTCCTGGCTCTCCTCTTTCACCTGGTGGTCCTTTGAAAGAAAATCATGGAAAATATCTCTAAGTCTGCATTCAGTAACTCACAATACTTTGCCCTATTGTTAAAAAAAAAAGCATGAATTACTCCATTGACTTGCTCTGCTGATTCATGCCGTCCACTTAGTAGGAGAACAGAGTGAAGTGGGAGAATAATGGGAGATTTAGCTTCAGTTCAAAACCACATGAATAATATTACAACCTCTTCAGCCAAATATGAACTACAGGAAAATCCCATGAATAGAGTCTGATGTCATTGTAAAAAAAAAAAAAGGATGCTTTGTTTGAGTTTGGACCATTTTGAGTTGGTGTCTTTGTGAGCGTGCATGATTTAAAGTGATGTGCATGCTGCATATTTTGGTATTTTACCCCTCAGGTTACACTCAACCCTTTGCCTGTTACATTGTCACAGCAGCCCTGCACTGAAAAGGCCAGCATCGCCTCAAGGTTATATTAAAAAAGGATGGTGAGTAAAATAAGAATAGAGCCTCCTTACCTTTCTTCCCTCTTTTGCCATCAGCCCCGGGCACTCCATTCAGTCCTGGGATGCCATCAGTCCCATTGTATCCGGGATTACCGTCTGCACCAGGCAAACCTACAGTGACACAAATAAGTCTTCATGATTGTGAAACAGTTTCACTCAAGATATGGGTCACTGAACCACAAAAAGGATGTACAGTAGTGCTGGATTTTAAATATGGACGCAGAGTGAAGGCTTCACTCACCAGGCGGTCCTGGAGGTCCTGCAACAGAAGATTTGAACACGTTAGACGATGATAATTTACTTTTTGGACTTCTTTATGAACTGCATGAATAAGACATACCGGCTATGCAGACTCCCTTGGTGCTGTTGCAAATGTCGATCAACAATTTGATCTGAAGAAGACAAGAAAATCAACATTTCATTAACACAAATGTTTTGGATGTATTTTACTAAAGCAACAGGAACAACAAAGTATTGGCTCTAGAGGAAAGAAATTAGCCATGGGCCCCTATTGGCCCCCAGTGACCAGCGCTGGAAGAAGTGTCCAGATTTACCTTATATGTTTATTGATTTAACCTTTAATATAACTTGGAAATCTCTTGGGATTAAAAATGTCTTTTCTAGGATTTTATATCTCAAAAAGCAACATCACAAAGTTTAAAAACTATATATTGCAATGTATTAATCCATTACAACAAATAGTTTAAAGTATTACCTGCAAAATGTTTTTATCTACTCATGCAAAAGGATTCTACATTTTATATTAAACGGTTGTTGTTATTTTTGTAACCCTTATCTTCTTGTAGCTGGTCAGGCTTATTCACTGACTTTAAATGCTTTTTGTGACATGCGTCGTATAATATAAACTGATTATGAAAAGTAACTTTAACTGTCATTTAAATGTAAAGTAAGTTTAACATTTTCCTTTTGAATTGTAGTGGAAGTATCACATAAAAAAGAAGCACTTGAGCTACAAATAATATGTGAGAACATATGTACTCACTGGTCTAAAGGTTAGAAAATAAAGCAGCTTTTGCCAGAAGTCCTCTTTTATTTTTGTTTATATTGTGCCGATTGTGCACATAGTATTACCCAAACACATTTTCTGTTATTAATGATAATAAATAATCTGAAACCTGGAACTGTACATGACAGCGTCGACCACACTTATGTGTACAGGCCTTTAGACCACTGCCTGTTTTAACCAGCCTGTAGCCAATTGTTAGCCACTCAGGACCAAATAGTAAACATTTCTAAAGACCTAGTTCAGTCTGACTACATCGGTTAGCCCTCACTCTGTATCCACCAGCTGGTGTTTAATCTCACCGGCACCATGGAGTAGGTCATCATCATCATCATGTCATCCTGCACGTGGGCCTTGTGGTAGCTCTGACTGTGATGGTGCTTATGTTTCACTTCATTCTTCATCTTCTTCTCTGATTCCTCTCCCACCTCCTGGCTGACCTCCTGCTCCAGGACCTCCTCCTGGAGAAGCTCCTGCTGTAGCTCCTTCTCCTTCTCCAGCTCCTCACTCCTCTTATTCCTGGAGAACTGGTACTGGTACTGAGGCTGGTCCCCGACGCTTGCCCTCAACCCTGCTGCTCCTCTGGGGACCTCCTGGATGAACTCCACCACCGAGCTCTGCTGCACCTCCGTCAGCCTCTCCCCTGTCTGCTCCAGCCACACACGCTGCTGGTTCAGCTGGACTAGGAGCACCAGGAGGCCCACAGAGTTCATCAGAGCCACCACACACGTCCCGTACAGCACCACCCGCTGAGGGAGAGTCATGCTGGGGGTTGGGATCCACATGGTTACCACTTCACCTCCTCGTTTCTGAGGGTCACCCACCAACCCCAGCATTCACAAGGGAATAAAGGTCCAGTTCAGCCGTAGATATAAAAAAAAAAAAATGTACAAAAAGAGGCTGATTCACTAAAACCAAACTAATCCAAGAGTAAAGAAGTCCAGTCTAGATGACTTGACAGCTCCAAATAGAGTCCAGTCAGCTTCAAAGTCTGTACTCCAGCTGAGTGGTCTATCTGAGGGCTGACTGGTAAATGCACTGCTTGTTGTGTGGAGAAGTGGTTGTGTGTGTGTTTGTGTGTGTGTGTGTGTGTGTGTGTGTGTGTGTGTGTGTGCGTGCACATGCAAACCAGTAATGTAGGAGTGGGCATTACACAATCTACTGGGCTTGTCTGGGAAGAAACCCCCGCCTGTTCAGTCACCTGATTTATATTCAGCACGACCCATTCTACTTTGCCGCCGTGGGCAGACTGACATCACACACACACACACACACACACACACACACACACACACACACACACACGCAAATATATGATGCACACACAAGAGCACTCACATAAATAAGAAATGAAAGCATGCATAAAATCAGACAGCCTTACAAATCATTTACATTGTTTTACACTTTTTAATAAATCTTGTTTTTATGAAAAAATAAGCAAAGTTGGATTAAAAGAAAAAATGACAACTTCACATTTCATTAACATCAATTCAGTTTCCATCGAGTTGCTTCATGGCCTCTCTCTCCCCCATAGTTTCCTCGCTTACGTCAGTCTTACAGTTTCTATTCACCAAGTGAAATTTTGACCCATTTCAACTACTTTGATTTCGGCCTCTAAAGGGACATTTAAAAAAAATGTAACTTAGCATAAAAACTATCAGCTCCTCGTTTTCCACACATTCTCTATTGATAGAGAGAGGTGCTGCCGTCTCACTTACATGACATACTGGAATACAATTATCATCATGAATGGCCACTTTTAAAAAAAATTTGACATAAATATATATCTCACTGATTTCAATTTTTTTTCCAAGAATATTTTTATTGAGTTTTCAACAATAGTACAAGGAAATAATCATAGTCACACAAAAAAGAGCAGAAGAGAGAAAGAAATAAAAGTGGCAGAATAGCTTTGTTGTGCATATGTTGATTTCAATTTTTTTTAACCTACAACCCTTTTTATAACACTGACATTTGGGTTAATTCGACCATTGTATTATGTTTGTATTGCCTTGTGTAAGTCTTTGGGTGTGATTTTTTAAACATGCTATTTACAGGTTTCTTGAATTCCCACACATCTGTTTTTATTCCTGTCATTATTTGCATGTTTATAAAAAAAATACAGTTAATTGGTCTCTCTGGTGAAATGCATCTTGCCTATCTTGCATGCTCTGCAGCCATGCTATGTCCTATATTACTTCTCTGCATGCACAATAACACTCTCACACACAGGGTGAGTTACCAGCGTGGTATTGTTGTGTGGGTTCCTCCCTGAGGCTGTGGGTCACTCATTGACCGTTAGTCGTTGTACAGCTCGGATTGCTGCAGCAGATGTTCAGATGTGTGTACGAGTAAAGTCTAAAGAGGTCTGAGATCATTCCTTTGTTGTCTCTTATTCACCGTACTCTGGATCCACTGACATGAACTGTTTGGTGAAAATATGTCAACACGCAAAACTCTTAAGGTGTCAAATTGACCTCTGTTTAATTTAGCTTTTTTTGCCAGGTGCAGCTGGAGGGAAAGCAAGATTCTCTTTCTTCTTGATGCATGAGGCTGAGAGGTCCAAGGACAGCCAGATGACTGAAATGGTTTTCCAACAAGTTTCCTCCTCCCATGCATCTCATCTCTGATTCAAAGGACTGGAAATCTTAGGAAAAGATTCTTTCTCTCTTTTTTTTTTTTTTTGGCTCCACAATTTGGAATTTCTGAGTATGAAATAAGAGAATACTTCACATTAAAAAAAGACTCCAAAACAAAGATGGAGAATGATTCTCATAGCCTGATTAAAATTAAGGAAAAATAAGGAAAGTCTCAGATTTTCTTTTCTTTTTTTAAATGTATGGGAAGCTATAGATGTGTACTGATGGAATACATAATGAAAACTCTCAATGGTGTTTAATTGATGCATTTTGAGGAAAGTGAGGAAACTCTGTCGTACCTCTTCATGTCTGAATTTTGAGATCACTTCTTAAAGGTTTTCCCATCAGGTCACTTAGGATCAAATGTATCGTTTGATCCTCTGCCTTCCAAAACATGTTAACTATTTCTGCTACCAATATACTGAGCAATATCCAAAAGAACAAAAGTATAATTACAGACACCAACGTAGAATTAAAGTGTAAAAACAAGACTCAGTGAATTCTGTTCCGACGTCTTGCATGTTTTGACATTTCACAAATCGTCTTTATCTTTCTGCTATCAATTGGAGACAAAGATGTGGTTGACCACAACACAGAGCTCAGAGACGAGGTTACATTAACGTCTGTTTTCGGGGAGAAACAGTGGGGGGTGGGGGCTGGTGGTCTCTGCTTAATCATGCAGAACAATCTAGGTCTGAGGCATCATACAGGCCAGCGTTATCCGGACAGGGCCTCAGCACACAGTCGGCTGTTTGAGCGACGCACATTCTTGGACTCCAATGTGGGCGTTGGGTGAATTCACAGAGTCCTTTATACAGAAAGAGCGAATGGAACAAAGACAGAGATATGGACACACAGCATGGGCTTTGTCACAGACGCAGAATAACATGAAATACAAAACGTAATAAGTAGTTTAGTGGTACAGGTCAATGAGTTAAAAGTTAACATCAAGTCATTTGTTACGAAGGGCAGGCTTATAAAACTGTACTGTTTATACATTTCACAAGAGTAAACATGAGGACATAAATGTTTTATTCATGAGACCTACTTTGTGATCAAATAATACACGTTAGTATCTTCTGTATCGACTAATAACACAGAATAAGTAAAACAGATACATTTGTAGAGAAAGACAAGATCAAGAAAGTAAATATCTCTGAAAAACCATCATCTTGTGTGCAGGGGGCGTTTCACTCATTTAGACTGTAACGTGGGGAAGGTTGCAGCCGTAATTGGGGGAAAAAAATAAAACTCTGAGTAAATTTAAGTTATTTGTTGTTTAAGAAATGACATTTTCCTTCTAATCACAGACGTGAAAATAGCCTTCAGTGGTGGTCTTGATCGGTCTTGATTTGAAATTCGGAGTCCGCCCAGAAACCGAGGTTGTTTGAGCTCAGAATGAGTGAGATATAAAACATGTTCCAAAGATCATATGATGCTCACTTTCTGTTATCATACCATTCATTACATCTCTGCTCTCCCATCTCTTGGGGTCTCATGCAGGAATGTGACAATTCAAAAATACTGCTAGTTCTCAAACATGATATCAACCGATCATGCAAAAGAAAAGTGAACTTGATCAGACTGTTTGCAGAGCTACAGTGTATTTTATAAGTAAATTTATTTTATAGGAGAATTACATTTCACCTTTTGCTTGAATTCACTTCTTTGACAGAAAAAGGAAGGAAAGCTGGTGTATGAATTCGTCTTGAAAAGGCTGAAAATGTAATAAAGTGGGACAGGCCCGGCTGTACACATAAAAACAATAATAACACACATTCTCATGTATTCTCACAGGCTTTTTCTGCTCTTTTGAAGGATTTCCAGACAGATTCTTTTGATGTTCAAAGACCAAGAAACACTAGTTTCCTATCACCGAAATGTCAAACACAACCCGGGATTGTGTACGCTCAAGGACACATGCTGGCACAGATCCAGTGCCTCAAGGTTCAAACTATGTTGTTTACACTTCTCCTCCTATGTTGTGACTTTGCATCACCCTGACCTGACTGGTCACCAGCTCACATCACATATAAAGACAGAGACACGGCTAATGAAGCAGCTTTAATCTCTCAGGGCTGTAAATCTGCCTCCTCATGGATCTGATCGCTGCTTGTGAACGGGCCATGAGTCCTGTTGGTTTGGATGCTGAAGTAGCCGACCTGGTCTACATGTCCCTGAATGTAACTGTAGTGGGATCACATGGCATCTCAATGGCAACCAGAACCCTGATACTGCTTTTCTGTGCGCTGCTTGCAGCCTGGAGCCACACGGACAAGACATCTGTACCAGGTAGGTTCAAATTTCAAGCTTCCTTCTTCATTTTAAACCCAATGAGTATAGTATCTGGTATAGGTTGAAATCTATTGATTGTACTCCAACAGGTCCTTCTTTCTGTCTTGGTTTTGGGCCTTTTCTGTCATACATGAGATTCATTTGGACTGGTATTGGGACAGCGAGTCACTACTACAACAACAAGTATGGAGACATTGTCAGAGTCTGGATCAATGGAGAGGAGACGCTCATACTCAGCAGGTTTGTTTTCTTGGTTAAAATGTATATATTCAATCCTCAAACAGTTCGTTTAGGCTTAAATTGTAAATATTATTTTTTTCATTTTTTGTTCTTTACCACAAGGGCATCAGCTGTTCACCATGTCCTGAAACATAGTCATTATACTTCACGTTTTGGGAGCAAGCAGGGCCTCAGCTGCATTGGCATGAATGAAAGAGGGATCATATTTAACAACAATGTAACCCTGTGGAAGAAAATACGCACCTATTTCACCAAAGGTAACATTTAATCACTCAGTTAGCTTTGCAAACTTTCTGATTTCAGTCGTCTTTCAGTACTTTCAGAAATGCAAAATATTCCACTACCTGCACAAACCTTGATGTTCTGTGTCAGCGCTGACAGGTCCGGGCCTGCAGCAGACCGTGGAGGTTTGCGTCTCATCCACTCAGAGTCACCTGGACGAGCTGGACAGTTTGGATCATGTGGACGTGATCAGTTTGCTGCGCTGCACTGTGGTCGACATCTCCAACCGACTCTTCCTGGATGTTCCTGTGAATGGTGAGCAGGCATGCTTCATCTTAATGGAAGATGAACATTGAGGAGTCTGTGTGAGGATTAAACACATGGCAACTGTTTAACCTCTTTCTGTTTTCATTGTGTGCAGAGAAAGAACTGATGCTGAAAATTCAGAGGTATTTTGACACATGGCAGACTGTGCTCATAAAACCAGACATATACTTCAAGTTTGACTGTATTCACCAGAGGCACAAAACAGCAGCGTGAGTCACTCCAGCTCTCTCTCATTTGTAATGTCATACAAAAGCCCACTTCAAAGGTTTTTTTTTTGTGCAACACAGTGTA